ACCGATTATCGTATTATGCCACTTAACTCTTTTATTGAATTTGTGGCTCATCACCTTATCGTGTTATATCTATACACATTATTTATATAGATAATTTTTATACTTATGTCATCTTATACAGAGTGGTCAAGAAAAAACACCAAGATTTTAGTGTATTTATCTTTTGAAATCCGGGAATTATTTTTGGATCACCCTGTATTATTATTAAGTGCGTTGAGAGGTCTTTGAGTGCGTGCGTGCGTGTGTGTAAGGGTGGGTTTAGTGTATTGGAGCCCGTGAGTGTGTGTGTGTGTGTTTAGAGGGGATTGAGTGTGTGTTGGGGGGGTTTGAGTGTATGTGGGGGATTGAGTGTGTCGAAAGTTCTGACTGTGTGAAGAGGGGATTGAGTGTTTGGGGATTTTTGAGTGTGTTGGGGGTTGAGTGCGTGTGGGAGGACTGATTGCGTGGGGATTTCTAAATGTGTGTGCATGGAGGGGTAGATAAAGAGGGGTAGGTAGATAAGTATGTTTTTTTTTGTGCATTGGGGTAGTTTTGAGTGTACGTGGGGAAATATTGAGTGTGCGTAAGTTAAATGAATTGTGAATGATGGTTAGAGAGTGTTTGCTTATGCGGATTGCGTGGAGTTGAGTGTGTGGATTGGAGGATTGAAATAATTGAGTGCATGTAAGGTTGAGTGAGTCGGGATTAAGTTTCTGAGATTGAGTGTGAATACTTATAAGAAAGAGAGAGGTGAGTGAGTGAGTGAGTGAGTGAGTGAGTGAGTGGAGTGAGTGAGTGAGGAGGAGTGAGTGAGTGAAGTTCTCAATGCAAAGCTACACATCCTTAAGACCAAGTCAAATATAAATTACATCACAAGCACTAACCAACCCAACCCAACCCAACCCAACCCAAACCCAAATCCCAACCCAACCCAACTCCAACCCAACCCAACCCAACCCAACTCCAACCAACCCAACCCAACTCCAACCCAACCCAACCCAACCCAACTAACCCAACTCAACCCTAACCCAACCTAACCCAACCCAACCCAGCTCCAGCCCAACCCAACCCAACCCAACCCAACTCCAACCCAACCCAACCCAGCCTATAGATCAGACTCCAAGTGACCACCAGTACAGTAAGTAGACAAGTAGACCTCCG